TCTTCTCTATACGTAGACCCAGACTCTTATGCTTTAATATATTTCTTTGCCATTCTTTTAATTAATTTAAAAATTATTTATGTTTCGGCTAAAGAAAACTTTTTAATTAATTTTTAATGTAACTTTACTTAATTTCTCGTAATTAAAATCATAAAGATTAATTTTCTTCTTTCAAATTATTTCAGAAAATTTTCGTGTTATATATACGGAATAAAATAATAAAAATATTTTTAAAAATTTTCAATATAAAGAAAATTAGAAAATAAAAAAATTAGACCGTGTTACATTATAAAGAATATTATTGACAGATTGAAAAGCATCTTTCTAAAAACAGAACGTTTGTGACGCGATGATAACCGTATTTCCTAGAAAAGTATTCGAATCTGTCCAAGAAAACGTTCTTTAGAACTTCGTCTGGAGAAAATCTGTTTGTTGGTTCCTTCCAGTTTCTTTCTTTCTATTCGGTTCCATTGACTAGCTGTCACTCGGACCAACTATGTCGAATCTTTGTCATCGATTCTCCTCCAGCAGTCGATACTAACTCATGCTAAGGTCCACTTCTACATGTTCCGAAATCACTGCTCTAATTTTAAATTATCGATCTCTTACCAGAGTTAATCAAAATGTTTTATCATCACAAAGATCATCGTAAATGATTTCTATTTGCAAAAATTACACGTAAAAATTAGACAAACTATCATTATTATAAAGTTAAAAAAAAAATACTGAAAGGCAAATCAATAACATAAATCTAATTTTCTTATTTAAAAACTAGTTATTTTATTCGATTTACAAAATGTTTGTGCGAAATTAATAAACAAGAAATGCACCAAATTCACAAAAAATTTATTGAAATCAAATTTAACGGCGAAGTTTCACGTTCTGAATTCAAATGTTTATTTTTATTGATATCGTTGGAATAATAATAAATGAAGTAATGCTGTTATTTTACGTTAATATACGTTACAGGGAATACTTAGAACAAAAGACTTACTTATAGCACTAAAAAACTATTAAAAACTCGTCCGTCATTTTGTCGGTGTATTATATTAATTGATTTTTTTCCTAAATAAAGAAATATCTGTTAGACGAAACTGCGTTGATACATGATGTTCCTGTTGTTTCGGTGTGCCATTATTTCTTATTCTTTTCATTTCAATGCATGTTATGAGAATACGATGGCGTCGAAAATATCGATTCTAGTATATTTATTCTAAATTAATATTCTGTATTAATATCTTAAACATTTAAAAAGCCGAGAAAGCAATCTAACTCGAATCAAACTGACTACTTAGATGGACTTTGACTGATAAACGTTGACTAATTACTCGATCGACAGCTAAATTAATGGATCAGTGTTTAATGGACATCGGCTTCTTTACTTTTATTAATGACTTTGCCGGTTATCGAATTAGTTTGTATTTCATTAATCGTTTAAAGTCGACCAAAAAATTTACAATTTAAAGTATCTTGTGAGAATAATTAACAATTATTTTTAGGTATATATTTATGTTTATAAAAGTTATATTTAAAAAGAAATGATGCATGGTAGAAGAAGCGATAACCAAACCCAGAGATCATGTACTGCTATTAAATTCCTTATGGTTTAAGATATATATTTTTAGAGCTAAACAGCTTTTTATCTACAATATTCAGTTATTACAAAGCTTTTTATTAACAGGCTTCTACCACTTCATTCCCTTTATGAGTTTCTTAATGGTGTATTTTTCTTTAGTCTTTAAACGAGGGGAAGCATAAAAATGATTTCCACTTTCCATTCACTCATTATATACGATATTATCTTTTGTTTTCTCAAATGATTGCTTACTTGGCCGAGTTATAATTGACTGTACGAAGGGAAGCCGATTTGTAACAGTTATGGTCACACGATAAAGATATCTCGTTTCTGCCCGTAATTTATGGTAACTGCAGGAAATTTCCTTATAAATTCTTTAACGGCTTGTAATTCAATGTTGGTGAATTCATAATATGTTTAAAGAATGGAATAGATGAATATTTTGCCAAAGTTTTGCCACAAAAAGATAATGGATGTCGTTAGAGAAACGTTTAAAGGTATCGTGTACTTTATTGGTCCCTATTAATGTATAAATATTAATTTTGCTTTGAATAGATCTTATAAAGTTCTTTACGATAAAATAAATTTATAGAAAATTATTGGATTAGTGTAAAGTTCTAATATATATACATGGGTTTTTTTTGCAATTTCATGAATTCATAGACATTTTTAAGTTCTTAAATGTGTGAATGAAAATTATACTTTCATATTGACGTAACTTATATTTTATGACCTATTATACTGTATTTTCCTTTATCAAATATATCTTTTATATTTTTTAAATTCTATTCAAATAAACAGAATATTTTTAGTGTACTTTATTCAAGTACAATACATTTTTATTTTTATTTTATTTTATTTTTTTGTTATTTTCAACATTTTCAAGAGAAAAAAAATGTATATAAAATGTATACTTTTAACAAAATTACATACATAATAAGCAAATTTAAAATATAATTTTTTTACATATTAAAAGATTTTTATTCGGTAAATCTTTTATTTTCATAGCAGTTTTGATATATAATATAAAAATATGATATATAGTTGATAATCATCTTTTTTAATCTCTTCTTTTGTATGCATGTAATATTTATAGCTTAGTACAACGTTTATTTAATAATATTTAAAGGTAAGCTATAAAATTTTAAAGATTTCAGACTAATCTTTTATTCTGTTACTTTACATGTAAAATTATCTTAGACTGACGAATCAATCATAAGTTGATTAGTTATTCATATCCTGTTATCTGTAATTTTTAAAATTATTTCATTTAATATACACGTGGAGTATTTACAAATTGATTTTTCCTTTAAAAAAATTCCTAAACACGTACCGTACCTTATACCATGAAGAATTTCTTATTTTAGAAAATTCTGATACAGATTTATTGTATAAATAATTTTTACAAGAATAAAAAATTATGTAAAGGTCACAGCAATCAATAACTTTATAACTTTTTTACGAAGGAATTTTGTTTTAAAATAATTTATAAATATGTTTAGTTCGCTTGTTATTTATTTTAATTATTTTTATAATATTTTTAGAAAAATTTATATAGAAATTGTAAGAAAGTCTTTAACGTTTTTTCAGTAAAATATATTTAAATTTGTTTTTTCTTTTGATAAGATAAAATTAAAGATTCAGTATTATATTTAAGGGAATTTTTGTATAGATGTTTATTTTGATTGTTATTTAATGCGAGAAGCAAATAAAAGAGAAGAATGTCGATAAATTAAATTTCTTATAGTTAATCTACATTTCTAATTAAAATTTACAAAATAATTGTTTAAAACAATTATTTTGAAAAGTAAGTAAATAAAATAGTTTTAGAAGGAAAATTATTTATAACATTAGTCAATATATTTTATTGGTTAAAAGATTAATTTAAAAATTTAGAATTACACATCATTTCTTGAGTATTTATATAATTTGTCTCCTTCTATAAATAAATAAATACAATATCTATATTTATAGATAAGGAAAAATATTTTATAGTTTCTTTAAAAGCTTATAAAAATTTAATTATAGGCAGTAATCAAAATATATATATATGAAATAAGAAAATCAATTATTTAACAACACATTTACCGAGAAAAATAAATTTTTTAGACGTGCAATTGTTGAGTAAAAGAAAAAATCAATTTTCACAATATATATATATAAGAATATCAGACACAAACCTACAAATAAGGCCTAAATTCTTTGAAAGGTGAACAGTTTTTGAAACATTAAGGATTCTTTAGATGAAGCATAGCAGGATAAAAGTATTACAGTTGGAAAAGACTATCGACACCTCAGGGGCACAAAAAGGAAAAGAAAAATCTCCGGGTAATAAAAGTACTCCCTCTCGACATCTATAATCCTGGTTCTAACTCGGAACTGAAATTAGGCTTAAGACGGGTTGTAGGAGTTCGATCGTAAAAAACAGCCGTAACTGTCAGTTGTAAAATCGGCAACCGAAGTACTTATGATAGACGACTGATACCCGGACAACCGGAGTATATGGCATCATAATCGCCATTCGGCTCCAGGCTCTACGCTTCTTGCTCCTTTGCATTATCCCAGAAAGGAAGTGAAAGAAGAACCTGTTTGACACTCTCCTCTGTTAATGAGCATTCCTAACAGAACCGCCTCTCCACAAAGATAATTTTATATGCTAACTGGCTCGTCCACGAAAAAAGCCGACCCATTGTTTCCGGCAAATTTGGTTTCAAAAATTAAATTAACAATATTTTTGCTTTTATTTTAACAAAGAATGTACGAATAAATCTTATTAATTGTATTTAAGATTTTTAAGAAGGCAATCGACGATTTTAAATGTTTTTTTTTAATTTTATAATATTTTAAAAATTATTTTTATATTTTTTTTTTCGTGTAGGAATTTTTCTGTATCACAAATAAACATTGTAGAAGAGTATCCAAGTAAAACTATTAAATAATTTAAACATAAAAAAAAATTCTTATAATTATTTATGCTTGTTTTAAATTTTGTTCACAAACTTATAAACTGTTTTAACGTTAATAATTTAAATCATAAACGATTCAAACATCAAACGAATACATGCAAAAATACCTGCACGCAAATAACCCAGTTACAAATGTATATGTTGTTTTACAGTGTATAAATTTAGCCATACCAAAATTATACTACACGTGTTCATATTACATATTAAGATATATGAAAGATAAGCAAAAATTTAAAGCATTTAGATCATGTTTCAGTAAAAGTATTTCATTTCGAAACTGCAATTGTTCTTGGTAGAATGTAGGATGCATCAAAGTACTTATGTACGAGTGTATATAATTTAGAGCCGCGTAGTTAGATGTAGCTTAACACTAAAATGTTCAAAATATTTTTTATAGAAACATAATAAAACCATAATCCCATCAAAGTTAATCGACAGTCAAGTTATAGGTATCTCACCTGTTCCACACCTGTCAGTTAGGATCTACCTGAAATCACATCATCCCTCTTTTATTGATCCACTTCTATTTTTGGCTCTCAACTTCCACGATAATGTGATTAAACTGAAAACACAATCGCTTTTGATTATTTTTACAAAAAAAAAAAAAA